CCATTTAGATCTTTAATCCATTTTGAATTTATTTTTGTGTATGGTGTAAGAAAGTTGTCCAGTTTCATTCTTTTGTATGTTGCTGTCCAGTTTTCCCAACACCATTTGTTGAAAAGACTGTCCTTTTCCCATTGGATAGTCTTTCCTGCTTCATTGAAGATTAATTGGCCATATAATTGTGGGTTTATTTCTGGACTTTCTATTGATGCTTTTATTTTCCTTTTAGGTGAGGGTGGATCTGCACAGACTGGGTATGAGGATTTCTGGCATGTGACTCAATCCTCATTTCTCCCAGCTCCCTATTCTGCCCTCTTTGGAATCTGCTGGCCCTGAGTGATCTGTGAAAAGAGGAGAAAATGGCCCCCAGGTTCCTAGCAGCAAGACCCCCAGTGAGTGGGATTTAACCTCTTTCGTGCAGTAATCCCTGTCCCCAGTTAAGTGACATGTTTGTTCACTTCCTTGCGGAGCCCATCAGGACTCTAAGACAAACATGAAACATGGCACAGCTTTAGGATACTCCAGAGGAGAGCCCACTCTCCCTCCTCAATGCACTCCCCCTACCCCACTACCCTATCAGAGCCCTGGCACACCTTAACTTTTGCCCCTACTTTCCATTAATTTAGGTCACAAATGGTCCAGTATCTCTTCCACAAGCCCCAGTGTCTACCGTGTACATTGAGAAGTACTGTCCTTTCTTTTTTTTTTTTTTTAAGATTTTATTAATTTATTTGACAGAGAGAGACACAGCGAGAGAGGGAACACAAGCAGGGGGAGTGGGAAAGGGAGAAGTAGGCTTCCCGCTGAGCTGGGAGCCCGATGCGGGGCTCGATACCAGGACCCCAGAATCATGACCTGAGCCAAAGGCAGATGCCTAACGACTGAGCCACCCAGGCACCCCGAGAAGTACTGTCCTTTCTTGAGGGCTTTGTAGGCCTTGTTAAGTTTTTTGTTTGGTTTTGTTTTTTGCTGCAATGGATTTTAAAATTTAAATGAGATCAAATTTACAGAATTGCAATAATAGTACAAAGAACACCGATATTGCCTTTATTCATATTCATCAATTGCCAGCTTTTTGTCACAGTTACTTTATCATTGCATCTCTGTGTATTTATCATTTTCTGAATCATTTGAGCCTAAGTTGTGGACATTATCATGTCTTTTACCTCTAATTACTTTGGCACGCATCTTCTATAAGCAAGAACAGCCCCTTAAATGACCATAGTATAATTTAGAAAATTTAACCTTAATACAATACTATTGTCTAATCTCCAACCCATAATTAAAATTTGCCAATTGTCTTAATTACTTTCTTAACATCAGGGTACCGGTGTCTCTTTGAATGAGTGTTCTTGTAGTCTTTGCATAAATATATGCACAGCTTCTCTTTAGCTCACCTCCAGCTTTTCTATGCCAATAATCTCCAATCACTGTATTCCTGAAGGCTTCCCTTTTTCACTATAAAGAGGGAGAAGCAGACTTCCCGCAGAGCAGGGAGCCCGATGCGGGACTCGATCCCAGGATCCTGGGACCATGACCTGGGCCAAAGGCAGACGCTTAACGACTGAGCCACCCAGGCGCCCCAATCTGGAACACTTTCCTTAATGTTTCTCTGTCTTTCTTGATCATGACTTTTGATGAGTGCCGGCTAAGCTGTTTTGTAGAATGTTCCTCTGTTAAGATTTATTTGATAGTTCTTCATGATTAGATTTAGGTTTTACACTTTTGGCAGGAATGATGCAGAAGTGACGTGTCTTCAGTGTGTCATATCAAATAGCACATAATATTGATTTGTTTCATTACTAGTGATATTAACTTTGGTGACTTAAATTAATGTAGGGTTGGGGTGCTTGGGTGGCAGTCAGTTAAGTGTTCAACTCTTGATTTTGGCTCAGGTCATGGTCTCAAGGTCCTGGGATCGAGCCCGTGTCAGGCTCCATGCTCAGTGCAGAGTCTCCTTGGGATTCTCTCTCTCCATCTCTCTCTGCCCCTCTTCCTGCTTGCACTCCCTCTCTCTCTCTCTCTATAAATAAAATAAATAAAATAAAATAAAATAAACTTTTAAAAAATTAATGTAGGGTCTCCCAGTTTTCTCCACTGTAAAGTTTCTGTTTGGGGGTTGGAAAGGAAGAGGCAGACCTCTTAAGCCAGCTTGTCACTGTGATGTGGAAGGTATGTCAAAGCCTATGAGGACAGTAAAAAGCTCAGTGGTTACCAGGGTTGACAGGAAGTGGTGAGCAGGAAGAGTGCAGAGGATTTTTAGGGCAGTGAAAATACTCTGTATGATACCATAATAATGGATACATATCATTATACATTTGTCCAATCCCAAAGAATGTACAAAATCAAGAGTGAACTCTAATGTAAACTATGGACTTTGAATCTCAAGCTTATTCTCCTGATTCATACAATATGGTGTGGGCAGCACCTCTGGAACTGTGTAGCTTTGGGTGTACTATGGTTGAAGTTTGAGTCTTCCCATCAAAGAAACTTTAAGGGCTGGAGAGCTTTAAATGTGTCTCATGTGTCTTTTCCATCTTCTACAAAATATAATGTAAGCAGGTGCATGGATGTTTGCCAAAATCAGGACCCTAGAAACCATCAAGATTCACTGGTACTTGTCAACTGCATTCCTCTGTGGGAATGGGTATGTCTGTGTGTGACTATGTCTGTCATTTTAGCAGCTGGTGACATTCAAGGATGTGGCTGCGGACTTTGCCCAAGAGGAGTGGCTTCTCAGAGTCACCTGTACAGAGAAGTGATGTTGGAACTATGAGAATCTCATCTCCTTGGGTGAGCACAGCATCTTCCCGAACCCATCTGTTACTCTCTCAGTGGGTTCAACCAAATGGATTAAATCCCCAGGGGATTAGCATTTGGGCACCCACATATTCCAGATCCCTTATGACAGAGGGTATCAGATTTGAGAGTGCAGAAAAATACCTGATCATTAGAAATGCCAGTTCCTGTCCAACTTAAAGAAGATTAAAGACACATTACAACTAAATTCAATGCTAAAAAATGTCCAGGAAGAGTGCCAAAAGGGACATATTGGCGTCGTTTGCAAATTAACTGGATTACGTAAAATACTGTGTTAATGTTAAGTCCCCTGATTTTGATGACTGTGCTGTTATGGGAGAGAATGTCCTTGTTCTTAGGAAATACCTACTAAGAATTGGGTCCTAGAGAGCCATGGGCCTGTAACTTTCTCTCACGTGGTTTTAGAAAAGAACTGTGTGTGTGGAGGGAGAGAGAAAGTAATAAAGTAAACGGGCCAAACAATAACAACTGGTGAATATGGGTCAGGGTTCTGTGGGCGTTCTTCGTGTTACTCTTGCTACTTTTCTATAAAATACAAGGTTATGCAAAAAACCTACAACCCTGGTTTCTATCACCAGCACTACTGAATCAGTGGATTTGGGATGGAGACTGCATTTTTGACAAGTTTCTTCAAATCATACTTGGGGCTGCACTTCCCTGGCCTCATCACTGCCTATTCAACCCATTGAGCATTATTACTGTTTTATATTGCAAATGGGTCTTTTCACTGAAGTTCCCAAGAATTCCTGGAACTTTTCTTGTTTAGGGAATATATATACATATTTGTAAGTGTATAAGTAAATGCAAAATGTGATATTAATGTATAATAGGTTTATTCTCAGTCTTCAGAGGATCTTCACGGATACCAAGGCCTAGATTTGACTTGTGTGAGGGTCCTTAGTCACACTGCAGGGCCCTAATCCACATATCTTTCCCCTCAAGCAGGGCATCTGCTGTCCAAACTGGAAATGATTTTCCATTTTGAACAAGAAGATGGTGTATGGATGGAGGAAGAAATGCCAAGAAGCTCCTATTCAGGTGAGAACCAGTCAGCCAGGAGTAAATACCATCAGTTACCCACGAATCCATGAAGGGATGGGTAACAATTTTAAAAATGTATCTTGTTTGACTTTTTATGCTTTTCATTTAATTGAAAATATTTAAATATTTTTTGATTGGAGACAAATACCTGCTCAGGCTCTGTACATGCTTAAGAACCAGCCTTACCATCTTATTGGTTCTTCATTAAAATTTTCGACATGTTCACTCCATATTTGGGGTGTGTGTGTGTGTGTGTGAAGTAAGCTCTACCCCCAACACACGGCTTGAATTCACAACCCTGAGATCAAGAGTTGCATGCCCTCCCAACTAAGCCAGCTAGGTGCCCCTGTTCACTTCATATTTGTGAAAGTTATCTTTTTAACTTTTGATAATTATGCTTTAACAACACTAACACCTTTGTAGTTCACAGTTTAATCAAGTGTTTTAGTAACACTTCATTTCCTCACTAAGGAAAGGGTTCTCCGTATGTTCCCTTTACCCCTGAAGCAAAAATGAAAAACCCAAGGTCAAAAGGACAAAGACCAGCAGCCCAACACTTCTCTACTTTGCGAAGCTTCTCGGCCTTACCAGCACTGCCTGAGAGTGTGTCCAGATGCGCTGTGCAGCCTTGGACAAAACCCCTGCTCACTTCATCATCTATTTTTTTTGTCCCAGGTGTCAGGGATGAGAATAATGGGATTCTCCCTTGGCAGGCATCTCCAAGAGAAAAACCCTACAGCTGTCCCCAGTGTGGCCAAGACTTCAGACAGCTCAGAAACCTTCTACTTCACCAGCAAACCCATACAGGAGAGAAGCCCTCTCCATACGATGGGCGTGGAAGAGCCTTCAGGGTAAGGACAGCAGACCTTAACTTTCCCAGGCTCCTTCCCAGAGAAAAGGCCTACCAATGCATGGAGCGTTCCAGAGTATCCAACTCAGGATCCACTCTGAGAAGGCATAGGAAGGACCACATGGGAAAGAAACCTCACACGTGTGAGGAATGTGGGAAGGACTTCAGCTGCAGCTCCAACCTGTCCATCCACTGGCGCGTCCACACGGGCGAGAGCCCTTCAGGTGCTGAGACTGTGACAAGGACTTCAGCCGCAGGGCAGCCCTGCAGACCCACCAGAACGTCCACATAGGAAGCCCCAGGCTTGTGAGGTATGTGGCCAGGGCTTCACTTTGCGCTCTGTGCTGGCACGACACTGGCAGGACCATGCAGGAGACAAGGCCTATGTGTGTGACACATGTGGCTGGGGTTTCAGCCAGAGAGCCAACCTCTACCTGCACCAGCGCGTCCATACTGGGGAAAAACCATTCCGGCGTGAGGCCTGTGGGAAGCAGTTCGGCCAGAGCAAGGATCTGGGCATCCACCAGAGGGTCCACACGGGAGAGCAGCCCTACAGGTGTGGGGCTTGTGAGAGGAACTTCAGGCACCGTTCAGCCCTCGGGAGACACCAGAGGGTGCACACAGGGGAGAAGCCCTGTCTCTGTGCCATGTGTGGGAAGGGGGTTCAGTCAGAGTCCACCTGCAGATGCACCAGAAGGTGCACTGTAGGGAGAGGCTTTTGGGACTGGGCATTGCCCAGGCCGGTGCCTTCCAGAGCCCGGGGGAATGCCAGGGCGTGGGTGCTGAGATGCACTGCATGGATCAGGCTTAACAGTATAGGGCATTTATTCCTGTTTAGATGGGGAAGATGTCATAAGTATGCAGATTGGTAGATTTTCACAAAGTGAACACACCCGTGTCCAGCACTTGAACTGGAGAAACCGAGCATTTCCAGCTCTTCCTAGGGACGTCTGCTGCTCCCTTCTTCTTGCCCCCCTACAAAGGAAATCACTCTCCGGACTTCTAAAACCATATATTTTGCAAGTTCTAGAATATCATGTAAGTGGAATTATACAGCATGTAGTCTTTTATGTAGGACTTCATTCACTCAGTGTTTGCAGATTCACCCATGTTGTTGCAGGTACTCCTAAGTTCATCTATTTTATTACTACATAGTATTCCATACAACACAACTGCAGTTTGTCCGTTCGCTTGTTGATGGACATTTACATTTGGGTTGTTTCCAGTTTTTGGCTTTATAAATAAAGCTGCTGTGAACATCTGGGTACACATACTCTGTGTGGACATATACTTTCATTTCTTTCTTTTTTTTAAGATTTTATTTATTTATTTGACAGAGAGAGAGGCAGTGAGAGAGGGAACACAAGCAGGGGGAGTGGGAGAGGGAGAAGCAGGC